GCGGGGGCGGCCCCGGCTGGGGCTTTACTGGCGGGGCAGGGTGGTGGTGGTGCGAGGGCGGCCTTTTGGCAGCCGCTTCAGGCTGGGGTGTCTGCATGTCAGTTCACTGGGCTGATACGCTCCTATTCTTGCAAGTCAGTCTGAAAAGTGGAACTAAAGAAGGGATTGGAAGTGGAAAAAACCTTTCACTGCTGCTTGCCTGTTCCCCTGAAACTGCTCTGTGTTTAGACCACGCTTGTATTGGGTCATGTTACTCTGCTTCCATAGGGAGATAGTAATGAGTAGTTATGAGGGGAAATGGATGCTGCTTTCCTTCTATGGTTCTGAATCTCAAGTTTATGCAAGGAAATGCTTCCCCTCCCATGGTTCCTGGTGCCTTACGTGCCCTGTCACCTTGCCCCAGCTTTGTACAAAGCTGTTCCAGCTCTTAGTGAACAGAGGAATTGTCGTACGGCACCTACACAATAGTGTGAAGTCACGGGTGACTGCATGTGAGGCATTTGACACCCATCACTCCGTGCCACATGACAAAATACCCAAAATTACTTCAATTTATGGGCACCTCAAAAAGCCTGCAGAAGAGATTGGTGCTTACCATGTTAGTGACAAGCAAGGTGAGAGCAGGCAATGTTGAAACAATTTGTTCGGGCAGTGAGGCAAGGGCTTGGGCCCCCCCCCACCCCGGCCTGGGGGCTGGGCAAGGTCTGCTTCACAGTCAGCAGCTCCTGTGAGGCGGCTGGGCTGGGGCGAGGTGTCTTCCATGCACGCCATTACTGTCTTGTGCCACAGGCAAGGAGATACTGTTGCTATAGTAATGAGCGTGACATCAAAACAGATGCAGTCTTCTGGCCTGCCAGGAGTCGCACGGCTGAAAACGTGTGTACGTCGGTACTGGCTTGCAGTTTGGTGCATGGATGGAGAACAACGGTCAGAAGTAAACCCTCCATCCTGGTGATGCTCAAATGTCGCAGGCGGGCAGGTTGCAGTCTGCTTTAGGTAATTTCTCCAAGGCCTCACTGGCAGAAATTCTTACTCATGGTATTGTACCATAAGTAAGGACTTAAGCTCAGGTGGGGTTTCAGATGTGTGTGTCTTTTGACTAAACTCTTACTTTACAAGGCCGTTATAACGTGTGGAATGTTGTGACAATACCTCCCACTTGGTCCACTGAGTTGTAAAATCTACAGTGACCAAAGACACTGAAGGCAGACTTTTCCAGTTGGTCACTGAAGTGATGGCTCAAGGCTCTGACTCAAGTCTTTACCTCCCTTGAAAACTAATTTTAGAGGAGAATTCGGGTGAAACTTGGTTATCTCCAGCGTCTCCTGCCATGAGCACGTCTTGGTGGTTTGAGTCGTTTTCTGCTGAGCAGCCGACCTCAGCTCTTGCAGAAAGGACACGATGACAGCGAGTTTTGCGTCGGCAGAGTGCGGAGCTCCCTGTGTTTGCCAGCTTTCTGCTGAAACACATTTTAGGAAGTAAGGAGCCGTTACCCGAAGTTCTCTTGCTCTGCTGTTGCAGTTCAGAGTCTCTGTTTCTCCCATTTTGTTACCATTTTGACAGTAAAAGCGTCGCAGGGCACCACAGTGGAACGTAGCAAAGGCTGGGCGTCCTAATCAGAGCTTCATTTTTTTAAGAGGGCTCTGACCCTGCGGTGAGGCTCGTGGTGCAGTACTGCTTGGGGCTTACGAGTTCATTTCTTCTGAGCACGCAACAAACTTCAGCAAAGGTACTGAATATTAAAATACGTTGGGTACGGATATTAGAAGACGTTTCTCCTTATCTGAGCTGCAGGACAGCGGAGCCAACCGCTGGGAATCAGCGATGGCAATGAAGCTTGGCACAGCTTGGTGTTAGGCGCTCCCCGTTAGCACCCTGGGTTGGCGCTTGCGCTGCTGACAGCTGGAGGAACCGTTAAAAGTTCATCAGAGCGTTTTCCAATTGATAACGGCCTTTTTGAAACCACGCCAGGGTTAAGGCACACGGATACTGAATTCAGAAGAGCTCGATCCTGCTGCTCTCTCTGGGAGGAAACCTACCCACCCCCCCCCAAGCAATTTGGATGTTCGAGCCTTAGGAGCTGAAGTGCAGGTGCCCCTGTTGCTCGAGCAAACTGTTGCTGCTCCACTGTTGCGTGCCGTACAGCCGTTAAATTTTGGATGGCAGCAGCAGCAAAGAAAAGCAGCTTTCATTGTCCTCAAAACTGCAACAATCAATTGAACTTGATGGATTTGCAAATGTAACAAGGAAAGGGGCAGAAAAAATAAATGGGGAAATCCTGTGGGAGGGGAGGGGGGGGGGGGGAGAACTGTATTTGGGTTTGGAATAAAAACGCAACTGGAATGTGCTATTGATCGCCCCTGCGCATAAACACGGTTGGTATGGCAATGCCAGGGTGATGGGTCTTGCCAATGAGGGGCTTTTTAGGTATTTTGGATTCATTTGCAGCTAACTATGAAATACTCATTTATTCGTGTTCTTAATTTGTATTTGGAGGTCTTCATTTGACAGTAGAAGCCTTGGCAAATAGATCGTTTCAGATGGTCTTCTGCCTGGGCATAAATGAAGCTGTTCTCATATCAGGATTTGGTTAATCGTGAGGGCACCCTAAAGAGTGGCCTGAATTTCAGATGTTTGTGTGTTTCTGATGCTTCGTTACGTAGTGATCTTGTTTAAATATTCTGTATTTTCAAGTGAGCAAACCTTACCTAGGAAACATCCAAATAGGTCGTACTGGACAAAGAAAAGTGATTTCAGACAAGGATTTGGTTTTGTACTAGCATATTATATAAAACATTGCCTTTTTTAAAAATTAAGGCTAAAAAACCCCAACTGCTGAATAAAACTCCATCCAGAGTATGGCTGGGGGGGGGGGGGGGCGATGCAATTGTATCAGAGGAGCATTCAGTGTCCGTAGCTGCGGCGGTGTGAAGAGGAGACAGAGACACGCGCTCTTCCATACCAAGGTGCTGTTCCGGTGGGGTGATGAGGAAGAGGAGGGTGCGGGGCAGAGGGTGTTTCGGTATATGATGCACGGGGCTCCCCTGATTTCAAGCATTTCATTATTGGTGCTTTAAAATACGCACGTATGGTTTCCAAGTATATTTCGCTAAGTTGGTTTTTTCTTACCTATTTATGACTGATTGTAAATGATACTGCTGAGTTGCCGTTCTGTATTAGAAAAAAACACATAGTCCATTCTAGTTTTTAAAGCAAAAAAACCATCAGTTTTTCCTGAGGAGAGGCCTTTTCAAGTACTGTCCCACTAGTTTTTCCCGAAGCAGTATTTAAAAAGCAGTATTTA